TAATAACAACAACAGTAATAATACAAAAATAATAATAACAATAATAGTAATAATACAAAATAATAATAACAACAACAGTAATAATACAAAAATAATAATAACAACAAAAATAATAGCAACAACAAGATAAGTTAGTCTTAAAAAAGCAAGCTGCTTAGATTGTCCCCAAACTTAGCAAACATATCTGAGATAAGAGTGAAAAATAGCATGATATATATTAAGCAAATTTTCATGATTAACATAATGACGAATTTTAGCTAAAATACCATTCAATCATAATGACGAATTTTAGCTACATACATTATGACGAATTTTAGCTAAAATACCATTCGATATTGTATCGAGTGCTTTTATTATGTCAATAAATACTCACACGCAAAGTGTTTATTATCGATGGCCTGTCTAGTTTTCTCTGTAAATTCTGAATGAGTTGTTGAGTGTTTGTTGCGAAAACCATACTGGTATTTGTAAATAAATTTATGTTTTTTCAAAAAATGCTAAAGTCTTTGGAACATTGTTTTTTCAAACATTACTTAAGTTAGAAAGAAGTGAACTAGGTTAATAATTGGAGTAGTTTAGATAAGAACCCATTTTGTGTATAGGAATTACTTTGACTACCTTAAAAGCTTCCTGGAATAATACCATTTTTGAAAGAATTATTCATTATAGTACATAGAGGTTTGGAGATTATGTGAGATACCAGCTTTAGTAGAAATGTTGGGAGACTATTAGGACTAAATCTTTTATTATTTTTAAGAGTACCGTTTATGAAATTCGCAATCTCATTTTCAGTCACAGGATCAATGAAAAAAGAATTAGTACTAGGTATTTTAAGAAAGTTGCCAAAAACACATTTAGTATTTTTAAGTAGTTTGTCTTGAATAGTCGCAAAATAATTATTAAATATATTAGCAACACTGGTATGATTTGAGTTGACATTTTCATTGATATTGAGATAAAAAGACTTAGTATAAGTAGAAGGTTTGATGTTTATGATTTCCTTAATTCTTTTCCAGGTATTCTTTACATTATTGATGTTGTTATTGAAAAAAGATGCATAGTACAATTTTTTGGAATATCTTAACAAGTTGCTAATTTTATTTCTGTATAACTTAAATTTAGTAAATAATGTAAATTTTTTATAAATCATGTTTTTATTAGAAATAGATTTAAGAATACCAGAAATAGATTTAAGAATACCAGATTAATTTGTTTTTTTGTTAATTCTTTGTAGGAAGCATATCGGTCTAATATTTTTTCAAATGTTTTAAGGAAAAATATTATAGATTTATTTATGTTAACATCTTCTTTTATGAGAATTTTCCAGTTAATACCAGAAATTTCTTGGATAAAAGAATCAGAATCAAATTTTTTGAAGCTTCTTTTAAACATTTTTACATTTTTTTAATGGGTGGGTTATTAGGAATACAGACAAATTGTGCCATGTAGTCAGAGATTGAAGTTGTAAGATTACAAGATTATATAAGTAGAAAATGAATTCATGAAGATTTTGTCAATAAGAGTTTTAGTTTTAGCAGTTACACGTGTTGGAAGAATTATGTTTGGAAATAAGGAATGAGAGCACAAAGATTCAAAATAATTAGAAATGACCTGTGATTCTCTATAATTCAATAAATCTATGTTGAAATCGCCCAATAGTACAATATTTTTTGCTTCATGACTTAACTTTTCAAGGAGAGGATTAAAATGGATAGATAAAAATTCAGTGATGTTTAAAGAGGGATGCTGATATATACATCTAAAAATGGTATTACTTTTAAGTTGATATATAACTGCAACAAAAATAGACTCTAGAAATTTGGAGGCATAAATTTGGAGATCACTTCAAACTATGTAATTAGGATTTGAATTTAGGTAAAGAAGCACACCACCTTTTCTTGACTCTGTTGGACAATGCTCAATATTATATCCTTGTATGGTAATGTCAGTTATATTAAAATCCTCTACATGTAAATTAGATTCGGTAATTCCTATCACCATGGAAGAAGTATTAATGGTACCAACATAGCTAGAGAGATCATTTATGTGAAACGGAAGAGAAAAAATATTTAGAAGATAAAGAAGATAAATTTCTGTATCATGTTAATAAATTTATTTAGTTCATTAATGTCAAGGTAATTGCATTTAGTTGTTGAATTAAAAACATTGTTCATGTTTTTAAATAAATTTTTGAGATAATCAGGAGGTTCATGAAATTTTATTTTATTAGAAGAATTCTTCTAGGAAAGAGTTAATTTAAGTTCCAGATCAGAGAGCATGCCAAATGGCATATTCTTGATATGCATTTAGGGCAAAACCATTCAGAAGAATCATTGGAAAGCAGATTGTAAGCATGTTTGTCAACTGGAATACATTTTGCATGAATCCAAAAGGAGCAACCGTTGCATTGGATGGCTTTATGATTATCTTTTATTTTTTTATTGCAAAACTTGCAATGGTGACAAATTTTTATGATATAGATGGTAAAGCCGTTTATAGAACAGAAAATATAGAAAATTAAAAGAGAAAATAATCAAACAATAAACAGTAAATGGATAAATAGCAACAGTAATCAGTAGTAGTAAGTAAAATACTTAGTTAATTATTATCGAAATTATAAATAAAAAGTATAGGTTTATAATATTAATTAATAACTAAGATAAAATAATAAACAATAGATAAAACTAAAATAATATAAATCCATAATATATAAATGTATAAGAATATATAATAATGATATAGTTATAATAATGATCAAAAAATATAATAAAATTATAAAGTAAAATAAGTTAAATATAATAAAATATATAACAAAAATTCTAAAATAGATAATCTAATGATAAATAATTAAATAATAAGAGATATTACAACTGGAATATAAAACGGCCAAACCTTATTAACTAGAACTTCTCGGTGGAGTTAAGGCACTTTTTAAATATTATAGCGTCTGTAAGATATTTTGTTGACTGCGACATATTTCCGTTAAATGGTCAGGTCTGTGAATTATGAAAAGACTAAAAATATGAAAATGATAAATTTTGCGGTATCATAATTTATAAATGTTTGTAGCGATTAAACCCAGACCAAAGATTCTTTTTTTAAAAAAAAAATTCATCTTAAAATCACAACCGCTAGTCCAAATTTGAATAAGATTTTAAATCTAAAGCTTTTGTTTGGACACAATACGCTGATAAAATCATGCTAATTCCAAATAAAAGTATTCGAAAAATTTGCAAATCACCTTAACTACACCGAGTAAGTGAATATAACTAATAATAAATAAATAATTAAAAAATATGTGAAAAAGCAAAAAAAAAAAAAAAAAAAAAATTTGTAAGTTAAATAATTATAGTAAAAAATAATAATTACGAAATAAAACGTGAAAATAAATAAATATCCAATCTTCTTATTCTCTTTAAAATTGTTTTTGTTCTTTTTTTCTTTCTTGTTTGTTTACTTATTTTTTTCTTTTTTTTTTTTCTTCTTCTTCTTCTTTGTTTACTTACTCTTTCTTTATTTTTTTTTTCTTCGTTTATTAAAGTGTTCTTTTTTTTTAATAATTCATAGTTCTTTTTTTTTTTTTTCGATTTTTTTTCAGATTAGAAATAATTAAGATTTAATTAAAAAATAAATCAGATTTTTAAAAGATTGTTAGCTATTTTACAAAAAAACTTCCTATTCTAAGATTTTAAGAAATTTTATATTGAAAAATTATCTGTTTTATCTTATCCTTTTTCTTTTCAATAGCGATTATAAAAGTATATACTCTAATAATAATAAATCTTATTTTTATCAATGATTTGCTACATACTCAGCAATTACTAGCAAGTTAAATGAGGTGGGACTAAATATAACAACAATTACAGTTCGACAAAGTTTGCATGAATTGGGCATCAGAAGTAGAAGACCAACACAAAAGCCAAAATTATAATACCAAAATAAATTTTTATTTCCTAATACTCCAATGTTCGTATTTAGTGATTGTTTTTCTTCTTTTTTCTCCAGGTGTGCTTCAGCGATGAGTCTACCATAGAAATTATGAACTCATAAAACGCACAATATGTGAAAAGGACTTTGAATAAAAATTTCATAAAGATTGAAAAAACAACATTAAAACCTGTTTTTTACCTCGATTAAAAAAGTGGTTTCCAATTAAGCAGAAGAAAATATTTTTGCAAGATGGAGCACTTTGTCACACGGCAAAATTTATTATAAAATTATTGACACCTCTAAAAATCCCACTTTTGGATTGGCCATGGAACTCCCCAGATCTAAACCCCATAGAAAATACACGGAGGCCATTAAAGAGAAAAGTTTGGCTAGAAAAGGTCACAAATAGGGCCCAAATGATTGAAAAAAATATTTGGCATTGAAACCATAATGCACATTTGAAAGAAATGGCTTTAAATTTATAGCATGCCAAATCGTCTTCTTGCAGTTATAAAAAAGATAAGGGAGGATCAACAAAATATTTGAAATTCATGTTAATAAAGTATTTTTATAGTTATTTTTTGTATCTTATGTTAGAGATAGTTATACTTTATTTATGTATAAAGTTTTTATATGTATTTTTATAAAATCCTAAGTTTTACCTCTAAGAAGATAAAAAATACAAAAAATATCAACATGGGCTAATAATTTGATCGGAGACTGTATACATATATAGCCTTTTTCAACAACATGCATATTGTTTGAAATTATCAAATATAACGTGAAACAACAGCTAAAACCTAATACTTTCGGAACAAGGGCTAAAGGTTCTGAATGACATTTTTTCAACCTAAATAGTTTTTATTTAACCTTATAAAGGAAATTATCCCATAAAAGAGCTAGAGTATTAAAGTGCTGATGCGATAACTTCTAACTTACCGGCATTTGTCCATAATTGTATTTTACTCTTTGTATGACAACATTTTTCGCCCACAAAAAATTTACAGTTCCACTAAAATAAAAACATAATTATGGTCAAATGTCGGTAAGATAAAAAAAAAAATTACATCTTTTCAAGTCTCGCTCTTTCTATTTAATATCAAATCCTATTAAGTTAATTAAACAGATATGTTAGGTATGCAAGAATTTACATTTAAAATGTGCAATTTTTTCAAAATTATTTTTTTAAATAATATTAAAAGCTTATCGAGCGTAAAAATATTAACAACTTGTCATTGTCGCAAGTTTTTACTGCATTACTTTTAAAAATATCGGTTATTGATGCATAATGTTTTTTGTCCGACTCAAGTTTTATTTCTTTCCAAGGTCGAATCACAAGATTCGGTAAATCTAAAATACTTTTGCTTATGATGACAATCAAAATAGTTGAGTAAACTTCGTTCAAGTCTTCGTCAACGAAACTTGGTGAAAGAACCAGATTTTCTGATAGAGTTAGCATCAGTAAAAAATGATCCTTGCAAATCCATTCGACCATATCACCAAAGTAACCAGAGTTCGAAACAAGTTTTGATAACACGTACAAAATGTCGAGTTGTGATCGTTGAGATAACTCCCTAAAAATTGTAAGTTAGAAACTTTAAAATGAAAAAAAAACAACAAACAAACAATAATAATAACAACTGAAAACCATATTTACTTACTGACAAATTTGAAGACCAGATAATGATATTAACAAAGCTTCACTCAAATAAAGTCTGGGCGAGCAAGTCAATGCGTCGTTTTTTACAAATGTTTTTGTGATTAAATACAAAAGATTAAGATACTTCTCTGCTTCTCCAATTCTATAAAATTTCTATAAAATTTCTATAAAAACGATTTTAAAAGATAAATCTAAATAATATGAACTTTGAAAATAGAATAAAGAATTGCATTCCAAAACTTGCTCAGAGAATAGGATAAAATACAGAGAAATTTTTTGATTTTTTTTCTTATAATCACATTTTTACATAAAAAATAGAAACCTGGAGATAATTAGCTTCTATACTAACTACCCTCGCGTGCTTAATACAAGAAGGGGCGAGGGGTCGGAATAAAAGTTATGGGTGGCATTTTTAGTCGAAATCTAATAGACGGGGAGGAGGGGGGCGGGGTCTTAATGAAAAAATGGATGGGAGTTTTTTACAGAACACAAAGAAAACAATTTAATTCTAGTGTGGCTTGCGATCAAATGAGCATTAACACTGTTTTATCATAGTTTTAATTGGATTTAATATGCTTTTTTAAGTTTTATACTATGGCGTGAAATAAACGAAAAACTAATTTTTGATAAATAGAGACTTAAGAAATTTTTTAAAAACCAACGCTTTTAAAGCTTGATTACACTGAATGTATTCTTTTTATTCTTTATATATTTTCTGATTTTTTTTTTTTTAGTTTTGAGAATTTTTTTTTGATAACAAGTAAAATTTATTAAAAATGAATAGGATGAGGGCGGAAGGGAGAGGGTCTTAATAACACACATGCCTCCAACCACGTTTTAATTTTGCGATTTAACACAGTTATTGTAATACATCGTTGGATTCGTTACAATAAGTAGATTTAGGTTTGATATGTTACCGAAATCATAAATTTCCAAAATATTTACGTTTTAAAAAAGCCAAAAGGGCAAAATTCAGGATTTTTTTCCCAAATTCAAGGAAATTTTTTTTATTTTTATAATAAATTTATATAACAAATTTATCAATTTTTCAAAAGTTATAGCCATTTAAGGCGTGAAAAAGAGTCATAAATAGAATATATCGTGTGGATACGACTGTTATGAATATGTCATTTGTAAAATACAAACCCATGCACTTTACATATATATACAAACACATTAACTAATGTTTTATATAATTAAGATTCTATTTATTAATAAACTTAACATACTTTTGTGACATTAGAATAAAAAGTTATAATTAAATAAAGTTAAAACATAATTATATTTTCAGGAACATTTGCAATATTTACGAGGTTTTTTCCGTTAAAACTGATAACAGCTTTTTTTAAATGTTCAGAAAAGGAGCTGTTACTTTTGGAAACTTTGAATCTATTCCAAGATTCATTAACAAAGCTGTAATGAATTGCTTCAACAGCTTGTCTAGAGTAGCAGCCTAATCCACGTCTTCTTACTGCACAAAAAGCACCTATATGTTTTAAAATAAAATGAATTTTCAATGAAACAGTTATTCCATATTCTTCAACCAGTATTCTGTAGTGATTTTCAATGTTTTTAACATGTGTTTGAAAATTATGAAGTTTTTGTGCAAAACAAAACTCAAATAAATTGTTTAAAAAGCCCTTCTGCCAATGGCTTTAAGTTAATTAGCAATGCACGCGTGTACTTATCATAATTTTTAAGGATTTTACGGGAGACGTTGCCATTAAAGGCATTATTCTGGACCTCTTTCGAAATGTTTAAAATTATTGACACTTTGACAACTTTGTTGTAAACTCGTGAAATAAAAAAAAATAATAATAAAAAAAATAAAATAAATGACTGCAAAATACACCTAACATGTGCAACCATGGACCCAGTAGCTAAATCATAAATTTGACCTTAATTTTAGTCGTTACCTATTACTTGGCCTTTAAAAAGTTAAACACAAGTTTTTAAAAGAACTGTATGATTTGTTGAGCTATGAGTTTTTGCTAAATATTACTCTAAGCTAAAATCCAACAGTGTGAATATCATAATATATCACTTTGTACTAATGTCTAACTATGAGAATCACAAAATATCACTCTGAACAAATTTGTGAACTCTGTGTTCTGCTTAATAACTTAAAATTATTTTCTAATTTTTGTCATTTTGAAAAAGACACAAACCAATTTACAAAAACATTTTAAAATCAACAAAAAAATGTTTTTTTTTTTAATGATGCTAGCGAAACTAAACTAGGAATAAATAAATAAAAAACTTCTACAAACATAAAAAAAAGTTTTTTTTATTATTAAACTATTATTATTACTATTATATTAAATCAAATTATAATTATAAATAAAATATAATTATTAAAATATATATATATATATAAATAAATATATATAAAAAAAATTATAATTATAAATAAATATTATTACTATTATATTAAATTAAATTTTTTTATTATTTATTGTTAAAAAGAAACATAAATCATAACGACGCTTTTAATTTAAATTTATAAACTAACTCTTAAAAGTTTTGAATGTGTGGCTTTTTTGAAACGACAGGTTCAATTCCAAAATCAACTAAATCTTCTACTCCAACAATAGCGGACTTGGCCAGCCAAACATTTGAACATTTCCCAGTGGGCCAGTCGAATTAATAAATTTTCTTTTAATATTTTTAGCAAAAAAAACAAACTAACAAGCAAATAGGCGCATAAGGGGCCATCCATAAATGATGTCAGTAAGTATAGGGGAGTGGGGGTATTAAAAAGTTTGGCAAGAATTGACAATGAAGGGAAGGGGCATAGAACCAAAATGACTTTAATTAAAAAAAAAAAAATTAAGTTTATACGAGCAGATTTTAAAGATATTTACTTGATATCTACAATGTAGTATAGAAATATTTACTTTGTGGGGAATTCGATGTAAGTTTCCTAAAGACATTAAGTAAATTAAAAATTTACTAATGTTTTATTATTGTATAACCATTTGACTGAAAATCTAATTGTTTACAAATATCAGCAATTTGTATATAAATTTAACAATTGTTATAATATTTATAAGCGAGAAGTGTATAGGTTTATTAGCGCGAATTGTATACATTATTTTCCAAACAGTGTTATGACAATTATTCTGTATTAATTCAACTTAAATTTCAAGTATTTTTAATTACTGTTAAAATTAAGGAGAGAAAAATTTAAATTCTATTAGAGAAACATTTGTTTATTTAGCATTATATTGATATATCTAAAATGTACGTATATAAATTTATGCACAACTCATATATTGTAGTGAATTATGGTGTCAATTTTTACTGTTTTAATAGAAAAATATAACAACTAGCGCAAAAAGAAAAAAATATAAATTGAAAATAACCTTGTCAAATCGCATTTTTCGTGAAAAAAAAAAAAAAAAAATGTTCACATTCTTTTTTGATTTCTGAACTTATTTATGCACCAAATAGAGACATAGCTTTAAAGCTAATTGCTGATTATGATGAAAAGATGCTGAAATGGCAAGGAGAAATGGTGTCTATGAATATTTGCAAGCATACTGGAGGTTTAAAAAGGACAAAAAGTAGCCTTATCTTGACTGTAATTAAGAGAACTTGACATCTTGAGTGCTTCTGAGCCATAAAATCACAACTGGCAAGACTTAAGAAATCAGTGGAAAAAAAAAAAAGAAAAGAGAGAGGTAACTAAATATCAATGGTTAACTGCTAGACAATTGAGAAAAGGTCATATTGACTTAATAAATAGCATGTCAGTTAAGTTTTAATTAGCAGCCAAAAAACCAGTGCAGGAAAAAATGCAGGAACGATAAAGCAACAATTGCATTTCACTTGTAGGTATATAATTCTGACATATTTAATTCCCTAAATACACAGAAAACAGTTGATGAAAGTGAACACATAATGGTTTGGGGCTTTTTTTGCAAAAGAATCAGAAACTTTATATTTTCTCTTTATTAACAAACAAATTTTTGAACATTATATTGTTTATAAACAAGAGTCTTACGCCAATGCTATTCATAAAAATAATATTTTTGATGTATGGCATCTGGCATAATTCAGCATAAAAAATCATAGAAATATTTTTAAACATATATTCACTTGACGACACTTGAGCCAGAAAATATTTGGAAACTGATAACATGTTAAAACATATGGAACTAATGATTAAAAAAAGAACTAAAGTAAAGACAAAATATCTTTTAGCCTTTCTTTTGAAAAACACAAAAAGTTTTAATGAGATAAGGTGTTTTTTTGATTAGATAAGATGTTTTTTTGGGCTAGCTGCATATGCATTTATAGTTCAATCAAAAAGTGTTATTATGTAAAAAATCAGAATCACGAAAAAAATAATATTTTGTCAAATTTGTTCGATAAAAATCTTGCAATAAATTGTCAATATCTTAACTAATCACCTTTGATTTAAAAATCACTATTGAAATTTACTTTGTTGTATCACATTGCGGTAACACCAGTACTTGTAATGCTTATGGCAATAGAAAAGGATGTTTTTAGTCAAACATTTGGAAAAGATAAAATGAGAGAACTCCAAAGTAAATACTTAAATGAATAATAATCTTTACTGTTTTATAATGTATTTAAAAACTTTATTTTATATAGTTGTTTATAATAAGCATGAATAAATATAAATTGAAACTTTTTTTTTAACCCGGCCCACATTGGTTTTGCCAGGCAATTTAAAAATGTTATTCCATTACCGCACCCATATTATTGATGTTTTACTATAATTTTCTTTTCTAAAAATAGAGAGTTAAAAATTATTGAAAATACCTTTTAAGATTAGCATGTATCCAGCTACATATTGAGTATGTTTTGATAAGATCATAAGAGGCTACTTCAATAAAACAAGCAGATCGAATCAATGCCACAGCCACATCCTAACATTATATATATATATATATATATATATATATATATATATATATATATATATATATATATATATATATATATATATATATATTATAAATTGGTAAAATCACCTATATTATATATGTATATATAATTTAATTATTAATATAATTTATATATATGTGTATATATATATATATATATATATATATATATATATATATATATATATATATATATATATATATATATATATATATAGAGAGAGAGAGAGAGAGAGAGAGAGAGAAAGAGAGAGTAAAACAGGTATATGTCACATAGCATCAGCTCCAAAGTCATCTCAAAAGTCACATTGTCTGCAAACAACCTTCAATGATGTAGTAACTCCGGCTATTCAAAAGGAAATTCAAAAAGAGGTTGCAAAACAACTGCAATCAGCCCAATCACTTGGATCAGCTTTGCAACAAATGTTTGGTATCCAACACCTTGACACAAAAAAAAGAAAAAATGTAGATGTGCCAAGATTCAAAGGGGAGTGTCTCAACAAACCTGAAATACTTGAAAAACTTATATTTGCATATTTCATTCTCCCCGAATGTCAGTCTAGAATGGAATAAATTTTTTTTTAATCAAATAAAGTTTCATAAAAAACTTTACAAAAAATTGTTAAAATTTTATATAAATACAGCTTTTTAAATAAATACAGCTCAATACTCTACAACTTTAATAAAAAAAAAAAGCAAAAATCTTTTTTCTGTAAAAAATTAATGATTAAAATCCTTAACGATTCCATTTGACCTCATTTCACTCTATATAAATTGATAAAAACACCTATATTATTTATAAATGTGTATATATATACATACATATATATATATATATATATATATATATATATATATATATATATTATATATATATATATATATATATATATATATACACAAATATAAATAATATAGGTGTTTTTATCAATTTATATAGAGTGAAATGGAATAGTTAAGGATTTTAATCATTAATTCTTTACAGAAAAAAGATTTTTGCTTTTATATATATATATATATATATATATATATATATATATATATATATATATATATATATATATATATATATATATATATATATGTATATATATATATATATATATATATATATATATATATATATATATATATATATATATATATATATATATATGTATATATATATATATATATATATATATATATATATATATATACATATATTAGTAAAAACACCTAGATTATTTATATATATATGTGTATATAGAACAGAAAAGATGGTGTACACACTTGAGGTGTGTTGAGTTATATTTTCTTTTTTATTTCTCTTTGCATTTGTACCAAACTTTATAAACTGAGTTTTTTGGAAATTACATTGAAATTGGTACTTTCTACCACATCCTTCACAAATTTTAAACAATAGATTTAATTCTTCAACATTCGAGGCAATTACCAGAATATCATCAGCATACATTAAAATACCAATCTTTAAGTTGTTAATCCAAACACCGAGTGATGTATTTTCCACTTGTTTAATAAGTCCTTCGGTATATATCGAAAAAAGAAGAGGCGAGAGTGGTTCACCTTGTTTAATGTCAACATTTGTTACAAAGATGTTAGATTTGTTACTACCGATACTTACAAACGCAAAGGCAAAGTACACCGCAAGCCACAATTTATCATCTAATTTATCAATTAGCTCCATTAATAAAGTCATTTGGTTCACTTTACCATTTTGAGGCATCAATTGTAACAACATAAGTTTCAAAGATTTTTTATGTTTGATTAATTTCGTAAGAGCAAATATTGCATGACTAGTTAAACTGTTAGATCTGAAACCAAATTGCAATGACGGGACTGTATGATTTGTTTCTTTATGTTCCATTATTATGTACTCAAAAAGATTGGTTAGGCTGTCAGAAATTGTTAACGGATGTACATTAGAAACATCCTACATATTACCTGTATCATTTTTAATAATTGGAATAATTTTCCTAACATTTGAGTTATTTGGCATAACTATATACATGATTGAAGTTATATATGCATAGACACCTTTAGGATAGTTTTTTGAATTGAGTACCAAACTTCTTTCAAAACTGCAAAGAATTTTTTTGACAAGTTTTTTTATATCTTTATTTAATTCTTATATACTTATTGACTTCTAAGAGACTTTTAAAACCTGAATTTTTTTTTATAAACCAACTTTTTTGTTTTTCTTTACACATACATTTAAGCTCACTTGTCATCCACATTAATTTTTTTTTGCGCTGAAAAGAAATTTTATCTAAATTTAGTGTTGGAATATATTTTTAAAACCTTTTTTTATATTTTCTTAGGAATTTTTAGTAACATTCATTAATACCAAGTCCTTCAAATTTTTGTACCCAGTTTATGTTATTAAATTACAAATCTAACGCTTTATCGTTTCCCCTTTTCCATAAAAAGTTTTTTTCCTTATTGTTTGTTGTGATATTAATATAAATTAGATATTAAAATAAATTGACCTATTTTTATATACAAATATAAATTTTAAAATATGATGACCATGATCGATGCCACCTAATGGTGGAAAATGCTCCAGAATATAAACTCTGTGGCTATTATCAGCTAAAATGAGGTCTAAAATGTTAGTATTACCAAATTTTACTTGAAAACTTAGATGGTTAACATTTCGGTGCAGATAACAGTCATGTAACAACTCAATAAACATACTTGCTGTTGCACCACTCCCACCTATAATTCCACTAAAGCTTTCATCATTCTACTTGATGTTTGGATAGTTAAAATCACCACATATTAAAATACCAGATTATTATTATATAAAATACCAGTATTTGTTATTTTGTTTAAGTAAATATGCCTGATTTAATGATTTTATTATGTCAACACACTTTTCATTATTACTAAGACCTTCAATTTCAATTTTCTTAATTTTGTCAGTATAGTAGTTGGTAAAAACACCTATATTATTTATACATATATATATTTCATTATTATTAATTGTAATATATATATATATATATATATATATATATATATATATATATATATATATATATATATATATATATATATATATATATATATATATATACACACATAAGAGGGCAAAGTCTATTTGAACTGTACAAACCTTATTGCACACTAGTCTACAATATTTTTTTTACCATTTATTTCTGCGCTTTCACTGGTTTTTCATAAAGTAAAGGATGTTTATTATTATTTATTCTTTAGAAAAATTTATTTCATACCCTATCTGCTGCACTACAAGCCAATGAATCATGATACGCAATGACCATTTCAAAGACATGGTATTTTTTATATAAATAAAAATCTGATGTGTCTTTTAAACTATCAGCAAGCAGTCGTAATAACCAAATTCTTTCTTGTCTATGATCTGAAGAACTACTGTTAAAAAGAGGAAGAAAAAATGGCATTTCTTTCATATTGATAATTGGTTTTAGAAGAATGCAATTGCTCAGGATTGGGTACATATGTTGCCCTATAAAAAGTAATAAATAATCATGTGTAACAAACCTTAATCTGCAGGAAAAAGTAAAATTTTGAATATATTAGAGTATATCATATTTGAGTGAGAATTTAAATTTTTAAGTTTTTGACTAGAGTGCTTGGATTCCCATGTCTTTGGGTATGGAGAATATAATTTTGATAATACTTTTTAAAAATATTAACATTTAGTTACTGGGAATCAGGTTTTCTAATTACAGTTTTATTAAAAAATCAATCTTTTTAAATTAAGGTTTTATTTTTAAAAGGTTTTAAACAATACAAATTAAAATGTTATAAAGTAAAAACAAATCAAGAGTAATATAACAGTTATATCATTGACCCCCCTCCCCCAGGATTCAGGGTCAGGTATGTAAAAAAAACAACTAGGGCTCCCCAAACCCCTCTGTCAATACTTGATAATTTTATTATAATTATAAAGATCAAGAATCAAGATATATTTTGATTACTATACAAAAATAACTTATAAAACAGTATTATAAATAACTTAAAAAACAGTAATAAAACCCAAATAATACAAAGCAAATAATAAAAAAGTATTACTGAATAAATTTAAAATCATTCTGTATGAAACCAAGTGACTGCTTTTTCCAAATATTTTAAAATGTTTTTTTTCAACCTTGGTCACTTAATTAAAGTATTTATACAATTCAACAAAAGCATTATTTCCTAATTTCACAATTTTGTTCAAATAAATACCTCTTTTATCATAACCACAAACAGACTGAGCAACTACAGACCGACTGAGCTGCTTCAGTAACAAATTTGACTGCTTTCTCACATTGTGGGGTATGAAATAAATATATAAAAAACTTCAGGGGAGAAGCTCTCAGTGTATTGAGTTTGAAGTGAAAACTGTTTCAGTAATAGTCAATAAGTTGTTTGATGTCTCAAGCATCAAGGTTTATTTTTTTGTGAAACTTAAAAAGATTTCACATCAGTAAACTTAAGTCATGAAAGTCAAAATTATATTGGCGACAGTTAACATAATAATAATAATCTCTGTTCAGAGTTAACATAATAATAATAATCTCTGTTCAGAGTTAACATAATAATAATAATCTCTGTTCAGAGTTAACATAATAGAGAAGTGCAAAAAGTATATTCTTAGGATGACCCCACCAATATATTTTATTTAAGATAAGGTTTAGAGGTTTCTTTAATCTTGCATTGTCGTCTTGCTTCTGTTACAAGGTGCAAAAATGCATTTTAAACATAGTTGGAGTTGCTTTTGCAGCTAACCTACATCCATTGTCACATCGTCGTAATGTTGCTTCACTTTCTCTTTTCTGTAAAGAGAAAGTGAACCAACATTACGACGATGTGACAATGGATGAAGGTGAGCTGCAAAAGCAACTCTAACTATGTTTAAAATTCGTTTTTACACCTTGTCTAAAAGAGAAAGAGCATCATTTGAAAATCCGCTACAGATACAGCAACAGTATTCCGTACAAGGATGGATTTAAGATTTATAGAGATAAAGAATAGAATCTTGAGTAAGAAATTGGCACAAAAAGAGCAACCTTAGCAAATGTTAATTTTGCAATGGATTTAATATATGGTTTCCGAGAAAGATCGGAAGTAAGAGTTAATCCCAGAAGATGAAGGGTAGATGACTCATTAAGTACATTACTGTTCATAAATATAGGAAGATCTAGATTGTTGCAATAACGATTAGCTGAAAAAAAAAGAGATTTATCTGAGTTAGAGTTCACCAGTCTCTGAGAGCCTGTAGCAGAAGTGAGATCCTTTTCAAGCTCAAATGTCTCCTCTAAGCAATCAGAGAGTGTTAGCTTTTTATTAAGACAAGAATAAATGGTAGTATCATCAGCAAACAATGCTACCTTAGATGTGAGAATTTCTGGGAGATTCCTTCTGGACAATAATTTCTATCATTATTCAGAATAACGATTAGATAAGTTCAGAAAAAGGATTGCACAATAAGTTTTTTTTTTTAACGTTAACTCACATCCCTAAGGTCGAAAAGGCCACTACAGACAAAGAGGCTACTTAATTGTGGTTATAAACCTCTCTCAACACTATAACTCCAAAACATGAACCTTGACAAACCAGGCAGCTGCGCAGAGAAACAAGTTGAAACAAGAAGAAAAAAAAGAGAAACAAGTAATTCCCTTTGAAGAATTACGCTGAAAATGATTACTAAAATATTCTCTAAGTGACTAATTCTGCACAAGGAATTATCACTTAATAGCTGTAGCGTTAAACTCAATGTTGGTTGAAATAACAATACGAGAAGACTACACACAGTTAATATAATATTTAGTTGTAACAATTTAATAAATAGATATAGAAATAAATGTCAAACAAATATTAAAGCAATTCTCTTTCTTATAATAAATAAGAAGATGAAACATTACAATCATTAATGTAAATTAAAAAAATATAGGGCCTAGGATAGAACCTTGAGGAACCCCTGAAATTACAGGAAATAAAGAAGAGTGTTGTCCATCGAGGACAACTTTTATGCTATGATTAATAAGGAAATATTCAATAATCTTAAAGATGTTACCTTGACTCAAAGCACAGATAGTTCTCAGTACACTATCTAATAATCCAAGCAATTGTCTCATTATTATTAATAAATCCTAAGCCATAACAAAGGGTTCCGAATGTGTCCTCAACAATGCATACCAAAAGTAAAAACAGGGGCACCATCCATGCCCAGAACCATAAAACTGAGTTTTAGAGCTGTACCCTCATTAGAATGAGTTGCTTAATCATAAAAACAGAGACAAAAGCAAAACCCATGCAATGAGTCAAGAAGATCTAGCATTCAACATCCTAAACTGGAAACTATGTATTATAAATTCATCTATGCCAGCCTAATAGATAAAGAAGGGGTGCAAAGATGGTCAGGGTTTAGTAATTCTTTTAAGATTATCAACTTTAGAAAATAGTTTATTAACTGCTCCACACCAATCTTTATCTGAAAAGGTTGGTAAAAAGGTTGGTCCGTCAAGTTTTTTCACAAATGATGGAGTGGAAGCTCATTAATATGAAGCTAGCAAAAAGATCTAAAGTTTTTTCGATTGAAAAAGTCTGAAACACATGAAGCACACTTTACATTTGATAATTCAAATTTAATAATTAAAGTTTAATAATCCTATAAAAATAGCATCTTACTAGGCTAGTTTAGATACATTTAATTTAGGTCATGTTGTATATTTAGTAACACCTCGACCTCTAGGCCTTACATCATAGTTATATTGTTTTTTTAAAACACATAAAATTCAAAGTTATAACAAAAAACATTTAACAAAAAAATTCTTGTGATTATATCTTTCACATTCTAAATTTTCCTCTACTCTGAAATACTTCATAACGGGTGATGTGTAAGTTATCGGACAAAATAAAAATGTCAATAACTTATTTATAAATCCAAAAAAAATTATTATTATATTCTTTTCAAATAAAGTATTTATCTTTTAATAAAAATAAGTTATTTTTTAAATGAAAAAACACCACCATCTGCAATTGATCTTATTTTTGCTCTAACACCTTTCATAATGCTTGTAAAAATCAATTTCTTGTAGTTTTAATTTAATTTGATCAATCAAAACTTGCTCTGTTGAAGCTTGAAAAATCTCCCTCATAAACCATCTGTGCCAAATATCCCCAAAAGTTTTTAATTGGTTGTGCTTGAGGCATATTTGGAAATTGGATTCTTTATCAACATAATAGACATATTGGTTCATCAAATTTAGAGAATATTTACAATAATGAGAACTTGCTAAATCTGGCCAAAATAAATAGTTCAAGTCTATAATTCTTGTGAATAAATCGAAGAAGTCGTTTTTCTTAACATTCATCAATATAGATTGATGAATTAATTGCTACAGCCTTGGAAGTGCAAAACAATTGCTCGAACATACTACAGTCAGATATAGCTATCCACATTACCAATATTTTTGGAAATTTTTCTTTTTTTCAATTAATACAAACACTTTCTGGGCAAGTTTTCTTGTTGTTTGTGTAGTATTCAAAATTTCCAGGCATGTTGTCCACTGTAAAACAAAACTATTTCTTGTCATCAATAAACAGAAGTGATTTTGTGATATAGAGTTGGTTAACTAGTTTCCTGCTTCTTTTCTTTGTTGTTCTATAGTGGATTTTTTTTACATTTTCTATATTTAATATTCATTTTTTTAACTGACAACCAATTGTTGATTGATTTACAACAAATTTAAAACCTATTTTTCTCTGACTGACCCCTTTTTGATTGTTGACAAGTCTTGTTAATCCGGCTTTCTTTTCTCTAGCCCAGGATGTTGGACGACCAGGGTGTTTTCTGTCAGAAAAAGATTGAACAGTTTCAAGTCTTTTTAGGTTATCTTACTTTGAGCAATTCCTTCCTTTTCAAAATGATTTATGATTTCTTTTTTTTTAAAATTAGGTTTATTTACAAAAACATTTTGAGTTGCTTTCCAAAAGATTCTCGTTCAGCTGCATTAACCTCATTTTAAATAATTGTGTTTCAAATAATAAAGTTTATATATTATGTTTATGCCTATACATAAAACCACAAAAAAAAATTATTATGCTCAAATTCAGATTTGAGCATAATAATTTTACAGTAACAGTTGATGACACACCAATTCTGACAGAACCAATGACATCATTTCTAATATCATTGTTGTTTTGCTTAACATAATTTTTGTGTTTTTCTTATGTCAAGTCTACTTTACTATCACTGACTTTATTATCACCATATCAACATTAGAACTATTATTCATTTCTGTTGCAACACCCATATTTTCAGTGTCAAGTCTAACAGCAGAATGTATAAAATGTTACTTATGACTCTTCTTCTGATGTAGTAACTATTTGTTGTTGATTAAGTCTTGCTTAATCAATTGTATAGGTTTTTGAAAGTTTGGCAGACTCTTTAACATCCAAAGCAAACTCTTGCGACAAAACACTGCCTTGATTTTCTCATTAAACTTTTATCCAAAT